GCGAGGCTTCACCACCCATTTATCCCTCCACCTTTCAACCAGCACCACATGTGATTATCGGCCAGGCTGGCACAATTAACTAACTCACTCATTTAGAAGGCAAACGAAGTTGGTGGGTTAAAAACTACTCAAACCTCTCAGGACCAATATTGAGAGTGGCCATACCAGGAGGAGAAGGGGAAGGTGAGGGGGAAAAGGGGAACTGATCACAAGGATCTACATATAACCCCCTCCCAGAGGGATGGACAACAGAAAAGTGGGTGAAGGGAGACATCGGACAGTGTAAGACATGAAAAAATAATAATTTATAAATTATCAAGGTTTCATGAGGGAGGGGGGGAGAGAAAAAATGAGAAGCTGATACCAAGGCCTCAAGTAGAAAGAAAATGTTTTGAAAATGATGATGCCAACAAATGTACAAATGTGCTTGACATAATGGATGGATGGATGGATGGATGGATGGATTGTGATAAGAGTTGTATGAGCTCCCAATAAAATCATTTTCAAAATTATTCAACTGATCTCAAATGCAGAAGTATCTATCAGAAATGTGTACATTCAAAACCCCAAATACAGGAATTCTTGTCCAGCAGATAGGGGAACAGTAACTAGTCCACTGAACCCTTCTAGTGGCGTAGAATCAAGTGTTCCTCTGTAAGGGGTCAGGAGTGTTTCTAGTCTCTGTTTCAACTACTCAATTCGGATACTACCGAACAAACAGCAAGTACTATCACGTACTGCTTCAGCGTCAATACACCTTCCATACACGCTTGTCCCCGAGCTGAACAGGGGAGCAGGGGAACCCTCTCTCCCACAGATAGACTTAGGAATCACTCATCTATTAACACCTGTAGGGCTCCCACCTGGAGTAAAGCCCTAGGCTGATTTCTGCTGGAGAGGTTGAAAGTATTAAACAATGGGAAGTGAATGAATCCTATGGGCCCCCTTGAGGCGTGCTCATCCAATGTCAGTGGGCACTTTAGACCTAGCGGGCCTGCACCCACCTTCCTTGTCCTGTAACAGAAAACACCTTGTATGCCTTTACTTAAGGCTCCAGCCATCTGTGATAATGTGCAGAGCTGGAAGTCACACACTGGGAGCCACGTTGTGTTTGGCTATACAGTGTTTCTTGGTTTTCTTTGACTATACAATGTTTCCTGCTTATTTTTCATATAAGCTACCATGTAAAAATGGACAGGATTCTACACATCAGATTTCCAGTTTCTCTTAAAACAAAACCAAACAAAAACTAGACTTTTTGTTTACTTTGGGTGATCCTGCTGGCATTTGAAATACCAGTGACATTGCTTCCAATATCACGGCAGCACACAGCCACCACAGTATGACTAACTGACCGAGGGGTGGTGATTTCTACCAATGTCTACAAGAATTCTAGTAACGTCTTCAGTTGGAAATTGATCAAACATGCAATCAAGGTGCATTGATCAATTTTGGAGGATCGAATGCAGAAGTTGGAAACAAAGAGGAAGGAACTAAAAAATATGGTCTTCGTGACTGAAATGAAGCTGGAGATACCATGGTCGAATTCTGCAAGATCAATGTCTTGTTGGTAGCAAATACCCTTTATCAACAATACAAACCATGCACATGGACTTCTCTAGATGAATACACAGAAATCAAATGGGCCATATCTGCGTGAAGAATGCTGGAGAAGCTCATCATCACCAG